AGTGTAGTCAAAGATACTTTGTCAAATTGTGCATAATTTTCTTGCTGTCGGCACACAGCTAACAAAAATAATCAGTTCCATATTCTGCTATACTTTAGCTATATATTACTGACAAAAGCGCCCCCCCCCCCCCCCCCTATAAAATGCTTGATCCACCCCTGCATTAACATTATTCGTAGCTGCACAATTAAGAAAATAGTTGGACAGGTGTCTATTTAGGATAAATAAGTGGATATGTAATTACACATAATAATAGTGTATGTCAATGATCTAGAACAGTGTGTGTTCTTAGAAATTGTAAAATATTTGATTTGAATGTTGGTTGGTTGGAATCTGAAAATGTTTGGCGCTATGGCCCTACATAATGCTTAAATGTGGAGGAGTGCAGTAGTGCAGAAAAATGATGGACAAGAATACTTTTAAAGAGATTTCAGTGTGTCACCACCATTATCAGATTTTTATCAACAGGTCACAGGCTTGTATCTTTGTTAAGAAAGTTCAATTGTTTAGTCCAAAATAAGATGTCAGGCAAACCTCAAGTTTTACCATATACTGACTGTTGACCAACCCATGCCGTGACTTTAAATTTTTAAAATTTCCTGAAAATTCAGGAAAATACGAGTATTTTAGTTTCAAGTAAAATACTATTAACCATATAATAAAGTAACACACTTAATGCTACTTTCACTAGGTCTTGTTGGTTTTACAAAATCCCTTGCTAAAGAAGTTGCTTCTAAAAGCATTTGTGTCAACCTTGTGGCACCAGGTTTGATACAAACAGACATGACTGCTAATAGCYACACATCATACAAAGACTTGATTCCCTTGAGCAGATTTGGTGATCCATTAGAGGTGGCAAAAAGTGTTTTGTTTCTTGTTCAGTCACCATACATCACAGGACAGGTATGGAATTCTAATATAACATGGTATCATAATCAAGTAATAGTCATTCATTGTACCATAATTATAGAGGGGAATGGTTTGTTTTTGTTGTTGTTGTTGTTTTTTTTTCATACAAACACTGTTGTCACACTTTCTCACATGTGGAACTCTCTATAAAGGGTACTTTTTTCTGTTTACCAAGGGTGTCTGCTTATGGGAAATTCAGCTGTGCCTAGCTATACTACATAATTTTAGTGTTCGACTACATTACCAGGGAATCTTGAGAAGTGAAAGCAAAATAAAGTTATTGCTGCCATGTTGGATGAAAATGGRTGAGAGTGAGGAATGCTTTGTTGTCTAAAAAMA